CCGAAAAAATTACCGGCCGAAAAATTTTTCGGCAAGTTTTTTTATAGGTGTCCCAGGAATAATGAAAATAGCTGTAAAAAAATTTAATATATTAGCCTAAAATTTCGGGTCGGGTTCGGGTCGGTTCGGGTTGAGGCTCTAACCCGAAAATTTTCAACCCGACCCGACCCGACCCGTTCGGAGCACTAGTACGTATATTGTATATAGTTCAGTGGTTGTTACGTGTTGATCTGAGCGGTTTAAGCATATAATTTAGTCTAAATAAACGCATGCTACTTCCAGCAACATTATATTTAATATGATCATTATTTGATATACTTAAAATTTGTAAATCTTATTTATCTTTATGACTCCAAGTAATCTTGGACGATAATCAACTCTGTAAGCTCTTCTTATTTATTATTTGAAGTTTTTTTTAAGACAAACATTAAGTGGCTTATACGCGTTGAATAAATATGCGATTATAAGATTTAAAAAATTCTTTACAAAATTCTATAAAGAAGGCAAAGGCTAAGCTAGTTATTAGTTATCATACAGTGCTTAGCATATTTTATATTAAAGGTATTAGTTATTGAGTTATCGTATAACCGCGAAATGATTCACAGGGGCGTTGTTTTGAATTTTGGCCCGAATTAAGCTTAATTTAAGCCGAAAATTGAAATTATTATTTCGCGGTTATACGGTAATTAGATTTATTATCCTAATGAAATACCTAATTCTAAATCTCTATTTTTGATTATCTTTCTACAGTATTGCATCGCGTCTACGACGTGTGTTACGTAGTAATCATTAAAGATTTAGATAGGTAAAGGAATAAAATAGTTAGTATGCTTTGTGCTATTTTCTATTCTTTAGGTATAGAATTATTTTCATCATCCTCGAAAATCTTGAACATCTTGAACATCTGACAGAGGCTCAAGCATATATACGCGGGATAAGCGCAATAAGTTGATTGACACCACCTACAAATAATAATAATAAATTTTATTGTGATAAAAATAGTTATATATTATAAACGGTAATATAACTTTACCTTAGAATTTATTTCCATGTCAAAAAAAAGTCTAAAGTTTCTATGTGCTTTCATATTACGCAACTTCTCTTCAAGATGTTCTAGCCAGGGTGTGGCTAGATGAACCTTTTTCAATAAAACCCAATATCCTCCCTTAATTGAATCTGCAATAGCTTTATCAGCTAAGATTAAACCTGCATAAGAATCCATGGCAATAGACATACATTTAATTTTGAGTTCGAATACACGATGTTCTAAAAAATAACTTGCATCATTCCCAGGAACGGAACATAAAAAAATAGGCGTTGTAAGTTGAACTTCATTTAAAACCAATGATATAAAGTCAGAAATTTTAGTTTTAACGGAGAAACCTGGCTCGAATGTGATAGATAAAAGTTCAGTTACAGCAGGAATAACTTTATCGGGACGGAAATATTTAATTATTGATGTTTCTAGTTTGATACGTTTTTTTGTTATTAGCGTGTTTACAAAGAAACAATATTAAAATAGGGAATTAAAAATTCAAACATACGAGGTAAAGAAGCAACCAAACGTTCAGATATTTGCTTTTTTGGTGCAACAAACTTCATAAATTGCTCCCATTCGTCGAGATTCTCATTAAAATGTTTGTTAATCCTCATAAAACATGGAAGAGCCATGAATTCTTTTATTTTATTCAATGTACCGACATCAAATATATTTTCAAGTTCAGTTTCAGCAATTTGATCAGGATATGCATGAAATTTAATTTGAGATAATAAAATTGCAAATATAGCATAAACTTCGCGTAACAAAGCTCGTGATACCCGCTTTAAAGTCACTTTAAAAAGATCACGAGTGATAATTTTCAGCCTTCGTCAGCATCTATAATGTTTTTGAGGTTCAGATTTTCAAAAAGAATATATTGAAATATCTCATAAAAGTATTCGATAGAGAACTGATATGAGTAACGCAGTAGGTTTATTTGTGCCATAGCAAAGAAGACGGAGCTACAAGCACAAGCCAAAGGTGTGTATTGTTCTATATGTTCTTTCATATAATCGTCTATTTGTTCAACTCTGAGAGTAATTTTAGTAGCTTTTTGTTTCAATTTCCTCAATGTATCTTGTATTTTAGCATCATCCAAAATTTTGCCCTCTGATTCATTTAAAACCTGCAAAAGAGACTTTTCGAAAAATCTCAGCTCTAATTTAAGTTTACATTGAGTCTTAATCAAATCCGTTCGTATCAGATTCTCATTAGGTTGTTCAACTTTAAGTATTTCATTGAAACATTGACTTTGTAAACTGTTACGTGTTGCACTAAAGTTTACAAATGTTACTTTGCTGCATACGTCTGGTGAAAAATTGAAGTAAGGATTACGAGTCAATAGGAAAAGCGTAAATGATGGGGAGAAATCAATATACTGTCCTCCCAATTTTATTAAGACACGATCACCATTACGGCGCACTTCTCTGTTGAGAATGGAATTTAAAATAGGATCAAAATGTTCAGCATCTTGAACAATTAACAGGTAACCAAATAGAAGAGCATCTTCCAAAACCTTGACAAATGAGTTATTTAAGAAACTAGTAAAAATAATTTTTTTATCTTTATCATCAAAAATGAAGTGGCTTGGTCAGATAAATCAATGATGAGTGGATATCTATTGAACCACTTGAGCATTATGGCATTTTCTATAAACAAATCATCAACTAAAAGAGAATTTGCTTGCCAGGAAAGACGATCATCAGGCAATGACAAATATTTTGCCACCGAAAATTCTTGCTTAACTTGAATATTGGAATTGAATAAGTGGTTCATCCATTTTTTGATTAATATCTCACGGTATTGTTGATCAAAATATCCACCATAGGCAAGGAGTGCTGCCGAAAGCAATACATCACCTACAATTGTTTCCATCTGTGATTCAAGTGCTTGACTACTAGTTTTCCATTTTTGCATCTCAGATGACAAGTCTCAAGTGTCAAGAATATATCTATTCTATCCTTAAGTGAATTTATTATCACTTTGATAGCTTCTTTATCGTTAATTAAATCTGCATATTGATCCTTATATGCTGCTATAACATTTTCTAAGCGATTAACCTTTTGATGCAGGATCTCAATCGTATGTTGAGTTTGATGTTGTGCTGTTATTAAATCATCTATATCTTTAAAACTAATTGGACTACAATTAACAAAATCAATCACCCATTTAACTAAACGACCACATGCCTTGTTAGCTCTGCTTACTTGTACGAAATTATAGGCAGGCAAGGTGAGATATTTGGTTTTAATTTTTTTTCTTATATTTTTAGTCATTTTATTAATATCATAATTAACAATACTACTAATAAAGTCATCACTTCGGATGATAGATTGCACTGCTTGCCAATTATCAGCCTTGCGACCAAGCATATCAATTGCTGAAGTCATTGCCATTTTCACTGCCTCAGGAGGATTATTCATTGCACGTATTTCAATAAGCTGTTGTTTTGTGATACCTCTTACACTCTTTTTAGCATCTTCAAGATTCAATTCAATCTTGCCCAATTCATCCATAAAAAGTACTTGACGCTCTTTAATATCTTCAAGTTGGACCGTGTGAGCAAGTAACATTTCTTCTGTTTTTCAACCTCGCGTTGATCGTCAAGCAATTTCTTCAACATTTTATTAACCTCATGGTCCTTTTCTTGAAGATCTTGAAGATCTTGAAGCTCTTTAGACTTTATGTTCATATTGTTACGAAGACTATTAATAGTAGTAATAATTTCTTTTAATTTATTTAATCCAATGTTTAAATGACGTTGATGTTCCTCAAAATCTTTATGTTTCTCACTAAATAATCGTACATAATGGGTGATAAAGTCCAAATAATGGCATGGGGTTACATAATTATAACGACCTTGGCATTTGTTTAATTTTACATTAATCTCAAAGAGATTTATGGACGAAAATGAATGCATTCATAATGGCAGAACGATATGAAGGCGGCAAAGGTAATTGTCTATACATAATAGAGAAATTGCTAGGAGCCAAATATGATTTAAGGTCCAAGTCCGAATTTTGGGTGATTTCCATGCCTACTTGAAAGAATGTTTGATCAGACCAATCACCGAACCTATCTAAAACACAACAATTAAAAAGAACAGGATATTTTGCTGCATGAGAAGCGAGGCCATCTTCAGGAGGACTCATTGTAAATATAATATGTAAATTTTTCATTAATTGCTGTGTGAACCATTTATATAATTCTTCTGAAGATTCTAACATTAACCCATCTCTCTGAGATCCTTCTTTACAACTTGTTATTAAAGCATTATACTCATCATTCTTGAATAATCCAAGAACATCAGCATTAACAAGGAGCGTATTCATACGCTCTAAAAAGCTTGAACATGACATGTTTGATTCATTTTTTATAGAACAAATTTTTTCCTCTTTACAGCCAGCCCTTTTTAAGACTGTTCTTAAATCATTATCAAAATCATCACTAGTATACTTGTTATGCGCATTAATTTGGAAAACACTTAATCCATTCATCCAAGCAACAAATCTAGACAAAATAGTCTTACCGGATCCACTTATACCAATTAAAAGTAAGTGTCCTTGCATTTGTTTAAATACATGATCAATGTGGAGAACATGATCGATGAAATCATCAAACAAAATTAATGAGACGTCTAATTCTTTATTAAAGATTTCGAGACGAGATTTTAGATAATCATGTAAATCTTCATATTCAACAGAGATATAGTGTTTGGATAGCCAGTTAGAGAATAAAATTGGACGATGCAAAGCTTCTGATTTTTTCAAGTTTGGAAAATATTTTATAGCAGTGTAATCAATTTTTTCGTCCACCCATTTCCTTTCTTCATTAGTGACAAAACGGTCTTGGAATAATCGCAAAGCTTCATGTGCCCAAATACGTATCAAATCTTCAATATTAAGAACTTTCATAGGTTTAATTGATACGAATATACCTCTCATCCATTTAGTCAATTCACGGGGAGAGTAAATATAATGGGATTGAATATCTGGAGTAAACTGTTTTTTAATCATAAGATAAAATTCAACAATCGAAGCTGTCAATGGTTCAGCATATTCTTTAAGTGAAGGAACAACTTTAACATGGCACAAGCAAGGGTTCTATAAATATGATTAAGTGAAATTTCATCAGGATAATCCATCATCATTAATGGAGTGTTACAAAGGTATCTGTGAGGTAGCAGCGTACAGTGAAGGTCAGTTGGAGGTTTACAAACTCCCACAAATTGTATTCGTTCTAACTTGACCCATGTTCTATCTGACATACTCCAATAACAATCACATTCAATCAATTGTCTTAAAAAAGAGATTACGCTTTGAGTACCATAATGATCAGTTACAGAAAGATTAATTTCATTACAAATTATTACTAGCATGTAACCAATGGCAATGGGTGACAAAATAACACCATTTGGAGTCTTACGATATTCACAATATTGATCGAATATTTTTAAAATTGATTCGGGTGTAGTAACATTAGAAAAATTAAGACTGACGACCTTTATATTTGCAATTGTTTAATTGCACTAAATAGCGTCAATTTTTTTCCAGACCCAGGTGGGCCACATAATAAAAGAGGTTTGTGGTCTGAAAGCCAGGAGTATAATATGTCTTGGTAACGGATGGTATCGACTGTATGAACGATCACATCATTTTCAGATAAGTTAAAAGATTCAATTTTAATGGTTGGGACTTTGTCAGCCCATAATATCCATTCACCATTATTAATTTGAACATAATAATCAACTATCGTTGATACATTAGGTAAATCGACTAAAATGAAATTAAAATAATAAGGTATAAATGACATAAGAAAGCAGAAAGGATTAAAGAAAAGAAAAAATTCACGATGTTATTCACCTTTACTTATTCCACGAACAAATTTGCATAACTCAACACAATGATCAAATTTAGCATCTCCAGAGAAGCTCCAAATAACACAAAGAATTAGTCGTTTTGTCACATATCTCTCTAGATGTTCTGTTATCATTGGAAAATTAGGATTTTGTACGTGATATTCAATTACATTACTAACAGTTTTGTTTAGTAATGAAAATAGTGTATTAAGTGCTCGCATATAAGTAAAGTCCATAACATGATTGAATTTTTCTGCTTGCATAAGAGTTCTCGTAACTAATCCATCTTTAGTCATATGTTTACTAAGAATATTAGAGATTGCATATTGTATGCTAAGATGTGGTAAGACTGTCTTTTCTCTACTCTCAACTTTACAAATAGAAGATACTTCTTCTTTGTCATCATCCAAAGGAATGTATTTAATTTTTCCAAATAATTATAATAAATCATTTCAAGGGTAACTACTTCCTACAAATTATAAAATGAGGGATGAGGACGTCTGAAATATTATTTAATACTACTGTACTAATAATTACATACCGATGAGAACCACACAGTGCCACAACGACTGATGGTAACTGATGGAGCACATTTTACATTTACTAATTCAAACATAATGCGGACGTTAGTTGGAAGATTTAAGCATTCACCATTAGGAAGAGTTAATGACCGTTTATCATCCAATATAGAATTTCTATTAATAATTCATAATTTATAGAGGTCAATTATATAGACAAATCTATAAAATTTTTTCAGATGATACATATAAACTTTCAACCCATTCTGGATCAATGTCGCCATCAAATATAATCCAATGTCTTTTGAAATTTTTGTCACAAACATGTTTAATAATATTACGCAAAATATGAGTGAATAGACCATCCTCCCATTCATTAGTTTTTTGATCTAAATTACCACAAAGTGCATCTTTAGACATAACTTTTAGGATCAATAATGTAAGTAACATTTCTGCATCCTTCAACACGTTCTAAAGCTTGAAGTAATACTTTCCATGCCATTGATTTTCCTAAAAATCAAGAAATAATAATGAATAAGAAAGAATTTATTAAGATATCATTGCTCACATACCAGAGCCGGATGGTCCAATCATCATAAGATCATGATGAGTGACTTGGACTTGATAAAGTTGGAGAACTTTTTCTAACCATACTTTAGAATCAAGAAGGTGCTTCTCTTTACAAACATTCTTAATTTCAGTTGTAAGTTTATCAATATCTACTTGCGTGTTTTTAACGCCAGGAACAGTGAGCAAGCTGTAAATTCATTATAAAATAGTTTTTATTACTATTGACGTTTTATTATCAAAGATTAATATAACCCACCTATTAGACATTGCTAATTGAAGTTTCTGATTATATGATTAGCTCGATGTCGAAAATTTAAAGCTTAGTTTGGTTTAGAAAGTCTTAATTGTAAAATCGTACGAACGTACGTACGTATGTACAAATTTTCTAAGTTTTGAGATACGCTAAACCTGCACACTTATAGGAGTACATTAGTAGCATCTTATCTATCGATAATATATAATTTGATTAAAAGTATTTTGCTTTATAATTTTTTTAAGTTTTTATTTCATTAATTTCAAGATGCTAAATGAAAAGCCATGGCACAAAGATTTGGCGGTCCTGTGGCTAATCATACAATAATATCTTAATTTTGTCTAAAAATTAATGTTTGCATTAATACAAAGTGGAAAGAATAGATCTAAATTTTTGTGCCAAAAAATTTATAAATAGCAAAAAGCTAATTTCCGTTGCGAATTTATGTGATTCTTGTTTTTTTTTTCTTCTTTAATTTTTTACACACTGATCTTAAAAATGCGCGGCAGATCCTCGATTTTGATTGGCTATTTGTCTCTCATTGACGGGTGTTACAAGAGAAAAAACAAAGAACAAACAAAAAAGAAAGCAAAGAAAAACAAGTAT